CAGACGTGGTGTGGGTAGGCCCCCTTGCAATCTACCCTCTGCGATGGATGGAGCCTCAGTGATGATGATTCTAACAGACCAATCTGATTGTTTACTGTCTGCTTTAAGTCTTCCCAGTGATTCCTCGTCACATCCTGGCCTCCTCCACATAGACCCCTCCACCTTGACTTAGTCTATTTTTAGCCTCCTTCTGTCTAGAATATTCTTCCCTCTTTCTTCTAGCTAACCCCAGCAAGTCCTTCAAAACCTAGGTCTAGCCCACTCTTCTCTCTGCAAACTTTAAAGGCTTCCCATTCTGATTTCAAAGCCTTCCTCTGCTCCCAAATCACCCCTTTCAGGCCCCTACCATAGCATGTGTCACACTGTATTGTCATTGTCAATTTATGTTCCCAAGCAACAGGGCACCAGGCATAAGCAATCTGAGGTCAAGGGCCCTGCCATACTCAGCCTTGCTTCCCTAGGGCCTAACCTGTTCTTGCACATGGCACTTGGCACAATTCTAAGGAATTTATAAATATTAACTCATACAATTCTTGTAATAATACATGGTTATTAGAAGAACCTATAAGCATGTGCCCAACAAATGTCTATTGAGTGTCCAGCAGGTGCTGGATACAATTTTAGGCAGTGGGGATTCAGAAGTGAACAAGATATACAAACTTCTGATCTCAGTGAGTTTATATAATCTGTTGAGGCAAATGGATGATAAACAGATAAATAGGTATATAATGTGAGTTAGTGAGAGGAGCTAAAAAGAAAAATAAAGCCAGACAAAGGGATGAAATGTGACAGAGGTATCATTTTAGATGGGATGGTCAGGCCAGGCCAGGTGAGGAGGGGACATCTGAGCAGAAACTGAGTAAAGTGAGTGAGTGAGCCAAGTGGGTAGGTGTGTGGAGGTGGCAGGGAGGGTAAGGCAGAGGAATCAGCATATGCAAAGGCCCTGAGACAGGAACAGGTCCAGCCTGTACAAGGCACAGTGCCGAGACCAGTGTGCTGGAATGCAGGGTGTGGGGAGGAAAGTAGTAGGCAATGAGATATTTGAGGTGGGGACTTAGGTCAGATAGAGCCTTTCAGACCATCCTAAGGATTTCGGGGCTTTATGCACTGGTAGGTGTGGAGCTTGGTGGGATGTAATCTGACATATCTTTTAAAGGATCATTGGCTGTTGAGTGGAGAACGTGGACTATAAGGAGCGAGTAAAAGCAGGTAGACAAGTGAAAAGGTGAATGTTGTGATCCAGATAGTGATGATGGTGACTCAGAATCCTCCTCATGGACTCTGGGCACATTTTGAAAGCACAGCAGACAGGATCGCTTGATGCTTGACTATGGAGTATACGGCAACGAGGAGTCCTGCATGGCTCCAAGGTTTTGGTCAACTGGTGGACTGGCAGTGGCGTTTGTTCAGATGGGGACAACTGAAGGAGAAACAATTTGAGGGGAGGGTTGGAAATGAAGTATTCTGCTTTGGACCCAGATGAGGTATGATAAAAAATATGGTGAATGTTTAAATTTAAAATAATTATTACAGTAAAAGACACATTGCCAGGGCCAGCCGAGTGGCGCGTTGGTTAAGAACTGGCTTGGGACGCCAGAGGGCCCCGGTTCGGATCCCACATATGAGGGCCAGTGACGCTCCCCTCCACAGCTAAGATGCTGAACAACAGCTCAACCTGAAGCTGGGCTGCCGTGAGTCACCGGCAACGGCGTAGGCTGCTGCGCCTGTGGCAGTGGGTTGCCATGGGCTATCGTGTGTAGCCAGCGGCCAGCATGAGCGGCCAGCAGCCGCAGTGAGCGGCCGTCCAGAAGCCGGCGACTGATCTGCCTCGCCCGGGAAGAGCGCAATGATGGTGCCAACTTGGGCGAGTGAAGCAACATCCTCCACAACTAGACTGAAGAACAAAAGGACAGCAACTTGTCTGTTCCCCTATCCCCCAGTTCCCCAATAAAAATCTTTAAAAAAAGAAAACGACACATTGCCATTAATCTCCCTCAAAATACTCCCCCTCACTTCAAACACACTTATCCCAACATTCTTGCCACTTTCTGAAGCCATTCTGGAAGTCCTCTTTTGTGAGCATCTTTAGTTGTGCTGTTGTGGCTGCCTTGATGTCCTGAACTGATTCAAAATAGCTTTTATGGTCATTTTGACTTTGGGGAAGAGCCAGAAGTCTTATGGGGCCAGATCTGGTGAATAACGTGGATGAGGACACACCGTAATGGTTTTTAGTTGACAGAAATTGCCACACCAGATGCAATGTGTGACACGGAGCCTTTCTGGTGTGATCACAAAATATGGTGAATGCTGCTGTTGAGTGCCATCCAACAGAAAGGCAAGGGATCTTCAATACAAGAAGCAGCGAGCATGTACGGAAAGTAACAGTGTGTTACAAATTTCAACTTGTTCAGTGCAGTCAGTTGGGTGTGAGCTACAGTTGAGAGGAGTGTTTTAAAACGTGCCATAAATCATCCTCCATTATGACAACGCTCCGTGTCACACATCACTTCTGGTATATGGCAATTTCTATCAAATAAAAACATTACGGTGCGTCTTCATCCACCTTACTTACTGGACCTGGCACCGTGCAACTTCTGACTCTTCCCCAAAGTCAAAATGATTCAGGACCTTGAGGCAACCATGACAGCGCAACTAAAGACACTCATGAAAGAGGACTTCCAGAACTGCTTCAGAAAGTGGCAAGAACAATGGAATAAGTGTATTTGAAGCAAGGAGGAGTATTTTGAGGGGGGATCAATGACAATGTGTGTTTTACTGTAATAAAATTTTTTTATTTAAACATTCACCATATCGTTTGATTGTACCTTGTAAGTTTGAGTTGTTGCCAGGATTCAGTTTTGTCTTCTATGAAATGGGGATAATGTTTGTTTTATACATTTCTAATGAAAAGCAAGTGTGATCATTGTCTTTTGATATTATAGAGATGGAGGGTTTATTTTTATTCATACTGAAGCTACAGGTAGCGTTCCCTTTAAAAGAACACAAATAAAACTCCCTCTTATTGGCTAGATATTCCTGCACTTATACAATTGTCCTCATATCAAGAAATGATGGTAACAGACCCACTCTCCATACTTTTTAAACATTTATATAGAGCTTACTATGTGCCAGACACTATTCTAAGGACTTTATAAAAATGAACCCACATAATCCTCTAAAATCCTTTTGGGTGTATACCATTACCACCCCATTTTACAGATGAAACTGTGGCACAGAGAGGTGAAGTAATTTGCTTAAGGTCCCACAGCTAATAAATGGCAGAGCCAGGAGTCAACCGCAGGTGCTCTGGCTCTGCTTCTGACCCCAGTGCCAACCTCCACATCCCCTGCTGTGTGAGCAGCGCCATCTCTGACATGGGATCCCACCTCTTGTGCACTGAGAAGGTGCCGCATGTCCAACACCATTGCCTGAACCCCTGCCCCAGTTAGCATTTCTGCCTTGGTTCTTTCAAACTGCTCAAAAGAAGCCTGTCAGTATTACTGGCAATACCTCCTTTTGTCTCAGACCTTCCCAGGTCACAGCAGCCACCCAGGGCACTCTCTGGTCTGTGCCTTTCTTCTAATGCCCTGAGGTCAGCCTCCTCCCCTCATTGCCACACAAAAGCTTTTGTGGTATCCCGCTCTCTCCAGGTACCATACTCTGTCTCATTGCAAGTTGTTACAAGTTGTTTAAACACTTTCAAGTACATATCACATTTCCCACTCATATTTTGAAGCATGTGCCACATTAAGCCAAGTGATGGAGACAAGAGATGAATATGACAGGACCCCTAACCTCTCCAGAGATTTTGAGCTAGAGGCCAGGTCCCGTGCCTTTCAGTTTTGGGACCCCCTCCCAGCACCAGGTGGATGCAAAGCAGGCATTCAATGAATATTCATTTATTTATTTAGTAAATGTTTACTGGGTGCCTATTACATGTCAGGCAGGCAGTGAGATCCCTGCCGAGGAAATGGCGGGAAACCAGACATGCGCAGGATCTCCACAGCTCTAGGGGCTCTAGGAGAGCCTCGCCCCCATTCCCCAACCCCAGACACCCTGGTGAGGGCTCAGGAAGGAAGCACGGGGGTACAAGCAAAGCAGTAGAGGCCACAGGAAGCGGCGGTGAAAGAGGCCAAAGCGTCAGGTCGAGAGGCCGGCGTGGCATCTGGTCAGGGCGATCCCTCTGTCTCTAAACGGAGATGCTCACACACCTGCCGCATCCGCTTCCGGGACCCCTGCCGGGCTGCGGTCGCTGAGTACAACAGCATCTACGCAAGCGACTGCCTCGCGGGGAAAGCAGAGCTTGTCAAGACAGGACTGTCTGGGAGGAAGGAGGCTGGACCGTGCGTGCGCGAAGGAAGGGGTGGCGCACGACTGGAACAGGCTTTTTTTGGGAGAACTCTCCAGTTCATCGATTACTTTGGAGCCTGGATTCCAATCCCAGAACAGTTGCTTACCTGTTGTGTGACCTTGCCCAAGTCACCTAACCTTCCCAGGACGTCATCGGTTAAATGGGTTTCCAATAACCTGAGGTTGGTGTGAGGATCGAGAGAGAGAATGCCTAGCAAGCTTCCCTAGCATGGTTCCCGGCAGGAAAAGCTCCCGGAGCAGGGGTTTTAATTACCCGGTGCTCACACTTCGCTGAGTCCCCTGGCCTCCCCTGGGCCGGGCAGCCGGCTGCTTTCTTCCCAGGGAACTACGACTCACCCGTGAGGGCGCGCCCAGCCTAGACAGGTTTATTAGCTTGCCTGGGGCGTGGTTTGGAAAGAGGCGAGGACGGGAAGAAGGTGGTGGAGGGCTGAGAAAGGGAAGAAGCGGAGGGGCAAGAAGCGAGCGAGGCGGAGCCGGGGAGGAGTCCGGCGGGGTTCCTGCGCCTAGCGCAGCGCGCACCCAGAGCGGGCGGTGGCGGCGGGGCGGGGGCGGTGCGCGGTGGCCAATGGCGCGCGGCGCTGCGGCGGGGGCGGTGCAGGAACACCCGACCGCTGACAGCCAAACTCCCCAACTCCGCCCTCGTCCCCGCGGGATCCCGGAGCCGAGCCGGCCGGGGCCGAGGCCGCCCGAGCCGCCCGAGCCGCCCGAGCCGCGCCGCGAGCGAACATGGCAGCAGAATGAGAAGACTGGCGCTGGGTCGTGGCCGCTGCCACCGCCGCCGTCGCCGCCGCCGCGCTGCAGCTTGAGATCTGCGCCCGGCGCCCTCGGAGCCGCGTGTTTAGCCGGCCTCCTGGTGGCCGCTGGATTATTTCATTCCCGGCGGAGGGCGGGATAGAAAGGGGACCCCGCAGCGGAGCTCGTCCGGGCTTTCGCAGCGTGTCGAGGTTTCTGCGTGCGACTCACTGGCTGCGGAAAAGACGCGGGAGAGAGCCAGTCCCGGGCTGCAGCGGCGCGGGTGCGGGGATGAGCCGGCCATGGAGCGGCCTCCGCGGGGCGCACGGAGCCGGCCGGCGCTGCGGCGGGGTTACTGTCTGAGCAGGGGTTCCGCGGGGCTTCGGGGCCTCGGGCGTCCTGGGGAGATCCCTGCCACCGCCTCCGGAAAGGACGGGAGCCCTGCGGGGCGGACTCTGCAGCAGGCACCGTACTGAGGCGCCCGGAGGCTGCTCCGCCTGCAGCTGAGTGCGCTCTTGGCACGCGGGCGCCTTGCCCAGGGCACAGCGGCTGGCGCACCGCGGCGAGGCGGGTGCAGGACTAGCTAGAGGGGTGTGCGCGTGTTGGACTGGAGAGCCGAGCTAAAGCAGAACCAGACGGACCTGAGCAGCCATGCTTCCCGGGGTGGGCGTGTTCGGCACCAGCCTCACTGCCCGTGTCATCATCCCGTTGCTGAAAGACGAGGGCTTCGCCGTGAAGGCGCTGTGGGGCCGCACACAGGAGGAAGCCGAGGAGCTGGCCAAGGAGATGAGCGTTCCCTTCTACACGAGTCGCATTGACGAGGTGCTGCTGCATCAGGACGTGGACTTAGTGTGCATCAACCTGCCTCCTCCCCTCACCAGGCAGATCGCTGTCAAAACCCTGGGTGAGCGACCCCTCCCCCCACTTCCCCTCCTGCCTCCTCTCCTTGCCTTCCCTGCTGCTTTTCTCCTCTCGCCCCCTCTTTCTCCCAGAAGCTTACATGGCACCTACGCTGACCCGGGGACCTGAGATCCCACATCCCACTCGGAGCGCCCGCCTCCCTCATCCGTGGTCCTCCCCATCTCTGCGCTTCCCTTCTCCCTTCTGACGCCACCTGGACGTGCTTCCCCCACGTGTGTGGCGCCGAGGCTGAAGGAGGCGTGTGTTCCGGGGGTGGGGATGAAGCCGATCAGATGCTGAGGACTGAGGATGGCTCCTCCGAGGGAGAGAAAACTAAGTCCCCAGCTGTTTATGTAGTGCCCGAGTGTGTGCGTGCTCGCCTGTGGGAGGCGAGTACGTGACTAAGAACACTTGTATAAAAGGCCACACACACATCTCGAGTTTTCCTAGGGGCGATAGACGACCTGACGTTTAGCAGCTGTGGCGCCCTGCTAGGATAGTTTGTTTCTTTCCGCTATGAGTTAGTTTAGTGTGAAATTAGACATGTGACAATCAGCCGGAATTATCTAGCTTTCGCTGAAAGCAAGGATGGCGGGAGTGGTTGCATGGCTTGGGGTGAGGGAATCTATTGGCAAGTCTTCAAGCTTCATAGGCTAGTAAAGATTGGTTTGATAAAACCAAAGGGATTTAAGTTTCGAGTGCCGCAGCCCAGGAATGGTCTTCTGCGCAGATTGGGAGTCATATGTCTTGCCTTTTTAGGGATGGGTACAGCAGTTTCAGAGGCACAGATGCTTTGTGTGGGAAAAGGATCAACGCTGCCAGTTTCATATGGAGGCAAGCGGATAGTTCCTCCTGAATTCCCGTCAGGAATAGTTCCCAGGCCTGGTGCTGACAAGTATGTTGGAGATAAACTCATCACTCCACACCATCCGGTCCCCCCACCTAACCTAGGCAGTCTGAACAATCTTAGTACTATACCAGGGTCCCTGCCATGCCAGAGGAAGAAGTGCATGTTTTGTCCATCAGCAGTTCTTACACATACCTAAGACAATCCCAGGAAGATTGCTCACTCAGTTACTCTCCTGAGAAAAATGTTGGAATTTTATTGGCGAGGAAAGAAACAAAGCACAGCATGCCACATTACAGAAGAATTACAAGGGGGAAGAACTGGGAAGGAACAGGGACAGCACCCAGAAGCCAACAGTAATTTATATAAATTTGGAAAGAATGACTTTTAAAAACAGGATTAGGATAGGTGAAATGCACAGATAGTTTAATTCTATCTTCAGAGACCTATGGCCAGAATGTAGAACTCTTTCTCCCTAGAAAACCATTCTTACCAGGCCATTCTGCTATTGACTCAGGTGGTACAGCTGATATGATTGGCTTCCCCAGGCTGTCAGTTTTCACGTTAATTTTATTAAGCTTCTGACCTTTGTTGCCTGCTTTCGTTGGCCTTGAACTGAATGTCACTGGCTAGCATTTCTCTTTTTGTTTGATGTAACATATGTGTTGGGTAGTTAACCTCTGTGCTTACAGTGGACTTGTGCATATCAAACAAATTATAACCATTTTATAGCATAAATCTATCAGGGCAATTTGTATAAAACAAGTCCGTGTTGAGTACGGTGTCTGCCAGAGGGCATATGATTGGGCATATCAGAAGGATCTTGTAACATCGCTTCTCCCCTCCAGGGCGGCACAGTCCTGCAGGTGGGACCCACAGAGCAACTCTAGAGTATGTCTTCAGGAGAGGGGAAACTTGAGGGACAAGGATGTTTCTGTTTTCTGACCATTATTGGTACTTTAGCCATGAAAGTATTTGAGGGTATTGGCTTTGAGAAAAATTATGTTTTTCTGGATACTTCTTCTGTCCGTAAGTTTCAAACATCATTGTTATCTTTTTCCTTGACAAGGCTAACATGAGGTACCTCTTCAAAACCAAGTGTAAGAGGCATATGAAATAGACTTAGTTTAATGCTCATGGTTAAGGCATAGGGTTTTGTTCATGTTTTCGTGGTAGGTCATGGCCTTTTTTTTTTAATTTCTGTTTTTGTAGGTAATTTGAGGTCATCTGTGATTATAGAAATTGTAGGGTTATTGAATTTAGAGGTGGCTGGACTTTAGTCTTGTTCCAGACTTCATCTTCACTGGAAAATCCCCGGAGGTCACTCTCCTTTGAGCTGTGCCTGCGGGTACACCTCAGGGTGGTCGTCTGGGTTTGCTTTGCTGTCACGGTGAGAGGTTCAACACACACAATATGGGAAGTGAAAAACCCCAAACGGTTAGCCAGCTGGTCTGGCCGTTGGGGTCTATAGATGCTAGCGTTTGGGATTGAAACAAGCCAGCCTTGACTAGTTTTGGTGAAATGTCATTTTAGCAAAAGCCTGA